CTCTGTTGAGAGGGTGCAGACTGGGCTGAGGGACACACACACACACACACACACACACACACACACACACACACCAGTGCACAAATTTCATGCACTGGGCCTCTAGTACAAAATAATACTGAATGTGTAAAAAAAATGAGAAGTATTCAAGTAGAGGCTGAACTGCCACTTCTCAGGAATGTGTCAGAGAGAATCCTTCATTACACAGCAAATGAAATGTGATGTCTGAAATGTGGTAGTTCCCTCCGCACAACAGGGACATGGGATTGCAGACTTCCGTAGAGACTATGAAACTGGATTGTCAGACAGACATATTTGCAAACATATAAACATATCAATTATGACACTCCATTCCATTACGATCTGGATTAATAAATGAGTTTAATATCACTACATCTTTCCTCAAAGGTCACAAGATCAGCTCTCAGTTCCTACACTTTCTTCTCTTTCTCTCAGTCCCACCTAAACTTCTAGGCTTAGAACAATGAACTACTTGTCAGTAAACTTCTCAGGGCACAGACATCTTCATTTCTGTATCCACTTTAGCATTGTTCCTCATACTGTACTTAGCATTGTTCACTGTTCTATATATGTTTGCTGAACTGCTTAACTGAGAGTTGCAGAAATGGCATATGACAATCTGCTTCTCAATGAGGTGATGGAAAGTCCAGTGCTATGTGAGTTTCTGAGTTATGGCTCACCAGTAAGATACCCCATCCATATCAGTATCCCAAGTTCCACCTTGGCTTACCATTACTGATTTCTGGGAGGTCAAATTTAGTGAAGTCCCACCACTGGAGCCGGTAGGTGGTATTGGCAATATTACTGGCCACAGCAGACTGTCCATCACCAATCACTGCCCCTGGTGAGAGAGAAGACAAGAGAGTCCATTATAGTGCTTATCTACATGTTTCCACTGAGAACATAAGTAAATCAAAACTGGGATTAGTATGAGAGAGGGAAGAGGAAGAACCATACTAGGACTAAAGAAGGCTGGCAAGTCCCATTTGTCAAGCCCCTGATTCAAGGAGAAACCAGACATCTTTCTCAAGAACAATTCTACATGGAAATATAATTCCATTCATCAGCCTTCTCCAATTATTTAATATGGTTTTTTAAGTTGATTTTTTAGATAGAGAGGAAAGGAGAGAGGGAGGGAAGAGAGAGAGAGAGAAGTGAACATCAATCGGTTGCCTCCCACAATCACCCAACTGGGGATCAAACCCACAACCTAGGCATGTGCCCTAACCAGGAATTGAACTGGCAACCTTTTGGTACAAAGGAGGACACTCAACCAATTGAGCCATCCATACCAGCCAGGGTAGCTCCCTCCCATTATTAATTAACATTTACTTAGTGCCAACAATGTTGCAAATACTGTATATATCCTGTTTGGTAAGCTCACAATCTAAAGAGACATGAATTTTCATAAACATGTGAAACAAGCCCTAGCTGGTTTGGCTCAGTGGATAGAGTGTCCACCTGTGGACTGAGGGTCCCAGGTTCGATTCTGGACAAGGGCACATACTTTGGTTGTAGGCTCCTCCCTGGCTGGGGCTGTGGTTGGGCGTGTGTTGGAGGCAACCAATCGATGTATTTCTCTCACATCGATATTTTTCTCTCTGTCCCTCTCTCTCTTTCTAAAAATCAATGGAAAAATATCCTTGGGTACGGATTTAAAAAAAAAAATAAAGTGAAACAAAAAGTGAAAGTATGAGAGGACACCATTAACAGAGAAAAGCATTTTGATCCCTGGATGTCTTTGTAATAAGCAGCGCTCTTTAGGAGAAAGCTTCTCCTTAGTATATGACATTCTTCCTAATAAAACATCTTAAAGGAAGGCTTCCTCCAGGGAACAGGCAGCCACTATACAGCTGACTGGATCTAGACTATAAAAAACAAACGAGGTAATATTTGTTAATTTCTTCTGGCCCCTTGGCATGTAACACAGCAGAAATTTATAAGCCTAGTTTTTTCAGCATCAAAATATTTTTATTGAGACAACATTTTATAACCCACACTTCCACCCCACTCATAAGAACTTCTCTGAATCCAGATTCACTTGTAACATCTCACAGTTTAATTTTCCCTGAGATATACGCTTCTGTGTGACATTTTTTCCTTGGTAGCCAATTAAATAAAAAATGGATTTTTAACAGGGTGACACTTTAATTTGCAGTTGTATTTCATTTACATGAACATGTCATTTCCTCCTCCTCCTTCCAAGGTGCATTTCGTACACAACCACCCTTCCGATCAGACAGAGCCAAACCCTCCTGGGAGAACATTCTTGCATGCTAGACAACCTACTGCATGCTAGCAGTATTCTCTGCTGCAAATCAACTCTTACTTTGAGAAACAGAGCTTGTTAGAACTTACTAGTCTCCAGATAGTGAACAATTTTATACCTATTTCTGCATATCACTACAAAGGGTTTTGTCATCTTTTTATCTTTTATTTTTTAACTTTTACAGAACTGCCTTCATTGCTCTGTTACTCCTGGTGTTTTCCAATTTTTTGCTCAAATGGTCAAAAGATTATTCAGAGAGAAAACAAGCCCTAAAATAAGAGAAAAGTACTCTTCCTACTCTTCTCTAGTTGCTGCAGGCCACTGCCTGAGAAGACTTTTCAATGTTAGTTTACTGATAGTGCCTCTGTCCCAGTTTCAACTGCAGAGAAAGTACACATACTGTAACAGCTCATTTTCAAGATGATGATATGTCTAGATTATGTATTCTCAACATGGGCAATACTACCCTCATGGGGGTGAAAACTAGCTCATAGAGGTGGGCGGGGGGAATCTTAGTACAATAGCTGGTTGCCCTCCTATGTACTGCAGTAGATAAACAGATACACAGCACATCTGTGATATTAAAATTTCATGACAGTAGAGATGATTAGGGGGGAAAAATGTCTAAAAGGGCTCCTCAGAAGGGTAATAATGAAATAGAGGTTGACAAATACCGTTTTAGAGAAAACAATACCCCCCAAACAACATATTCTTTAAAAATCTTACAGATTCAAAGACAGAGAGACCCAAATGGTCATGATCTCCCCAAGGTCCAAGGAAGACAGCATTTGGGGGATGCTGCCAATGAGTCCACTGACCTGGTACCCCTATTGAAGGTCCTGTGGCACCACTCAAATTAGTAAATAAATAAATAAATAAATAAATAAAGACCAGGGACTGAACCTGCAACCTGGGCATATTGAGACAATGCTCTAACCAACTTAGTTACCCAGCTAGGACTATGCCCTTCCTTTTAACCTTTACAGAAAATTCTATATAATCACATCTAATCAGAAACTTTTGCTAAACTTCTGGGTCACGAGGAGGTTAAGATTCCAAGGGACCGCCTTAATAGGAACTTTCTTATTTTTATGGGCCTCTTTGATAATGAAAACCATTTTTTAAATTCTAAGATCTACCTCTTCCCAGGACAGAATTATTCAGTTGCACTCTGACCCAGGCTCCATTCCACTGAAGCTTCTGAATTGTTCCCCTGGCTTCTTATCTAGATGGCTGACATCTTCCTTTAACCACTAGCCTCTCTCAAATTACTTTAGTTCCTTATCGTTTCCTCCAACTCCTCATAGGAAATCATATAACCCTAAATGGAAGAAGATAAATTGATTTTCTCAGTATATGATGAACAAAATGCTAGTTGCTAAAAGAAGGTAGAAAATAAGTGGAAGAAACAAACCCCATATTCTAGGGGTTTAAAATATGAGGGAGAAGATGAGAACTACAAACAGGAAAAAAGTTACGGAAAATACCAGATGCTTTACGAGTGCTGTGGATCTGGGAACACGAATGACTAAGGCTCCAATCCACTGCTCTAGAAGCACCCTGTGCGTGCCTCAAGAAACATCTTCTGGAGAACAGCTGTGCAATAAAATAAACATGTGTGAAGAGACTGGGGAAGTGTTCCCTGCCAACAGTGCCAGAGTGCTGAGGAGAAAAGAAGCCTGGCACCAGGAAGAGTCAGTTTTGGTGCCATGTAAACATAGATTAGGGAGCTAAAGATGCCAGCAACAGATTGTCACCAGGTTCTCTTCTGCAAGAACTGCTGGCCAACCACGCCTCTCTCTTGGAAATATCAGGAAGAAAAAGTACCACCCTACTAAGAAAACCCAACCATTTAGTATAAGGTGAAGGTATAGGACGTGCCAGAATGAGTCAATGGGCTGAGCTACAAAGTATTAGATAGGACACAGCCTCAGAAACCAAATCCCGAGAAACTGCTGAGGGATTTCTCAGGCCACAATGTTTTCTCAGTAACAACAGAATGAAACAAGCTAGACTCAAGGTTTCTCAACCTTCACTGTTGATACTGTGGGCCAATAATTGTTTACAGGGTGGGGTGGGTCTTGTGCATTGTAGGATGTTTAAGCAACATCCCTGGCCTTTCCTTACAGATAAAGAAACCAGGTAAGTTTCCTTATCTATAAAAAAAGAGTATAATAAGAATACCTACAACTTATAGGGTTGTTGGGAGAACTTACTGAAACAATAAATGTAATGTGATGGCAAATAAATAATAAATGTCTAACAAATGACCGTCATTAAAATTACCTTGGCCCTAACTGGTTTGGCTCAGTAGATAGAGCGTCGGCCTGCAGACTGAAGGGTCCTAAGTTCGATTCCAGGCAAGGGCACATGCCCAGGTTGCAGGCTTGATCCCCAGGAGGGGATCGGATGCAGGAGGCAGCCGATCAATGATTCTCTCTTATCACTGATGTTTCTATCTCTCTCCTCTCCCTTCCTCTCTGAAATCAATAAAACAATATTTTTAAAAATTTACTTTGATAATTTACTTGAATCTCTGTATGCTTTCCTCAATGGGTATAGCTCTGTAATCAACAGAGCTATAATAATAATTGAGCTCATAGAAGTCCTTTTGTAAGAGACTGGCCCAAATAATGCGCCAGTGCCAAGAGAAAGAAGTATTTATTTATTTATTTATTTATTTTTGAATCCTCACCCTAGGACAGTGATGGCGAACCTTTTGAGCTCGCGTGTCAGCATTTTGAAAAACCCAACGTGACTCTGGTGCCGTGTCACATATAGAAATTTTTTGATATTTGCAACCACAGTAAAACAAAGACTTATACTTTTGATATTTATTTTATATATTTAAATGCCATTTAACAAAGAAAAATCAACCAAAAAAATGAGTTCGCCATCACTGCCCTAGGACTTAGTGAAAGGAAAAGAGATAAATCAATGTGAGAAACATCACATCAATTGGTTGGTTGCCTTCTATACATGTCCTGACAAAGGATTGAACATGCAACCTTTTAGTACACAGGATGACACTCAACCAACTGAGCCACTCTGGCTGGACACGAAGTACTTAATTTTAGAATTAAGGCCAAATGTCTAGCAGCAGCGGCCCAGCCAGGAGCTGCAGCAGGAGAAGGCACTGCTGCAGGAGATATGGAGGCCTCCATCCAGGTGGGGACCAGCTGGGCTGGCGCCTCCCCCCATCCCTCACCCCAGGCCGCTGCCCTGCTGCCCTGTGCCTTGCGCCATCCACAGGAGGGGAAGCGGACAAGAGTAGCCTAGGCCCTACGCTCTTTACAAAGGATGCTGTCAGATCACAAGGGAAGTAAAACAGAAATTAGTAACAAAAAGATAACTGGAAAATCCTAAAAGACTTAAAAATTTAGCAACACACTTTAAATAATACATGGCTCAAAGAAGATAACTCGAGAAATTTTAAAATATTTTGAACTAAATGAAAATGAAGCCCTAATCGGTTTGGCTCAATGGATAGAGCGTCGGCCTGCGGACTCAAGGGTCCCAGGTTCGATTCTGGTCAAGCGCATATACCTTGGTTGCGGGCACATACCCAGTGG